TTTAAAAAAAACTCCAAGTCACATGTGACCCACCAAGGTTAGCTAGCTTTCCAAAGGCACGTGGCTCGGATGAGCAGAAGTGGATCCAAACATAGATAACACCCGGAGATTAGTACTCCTGCACCTGGCTGCCTGTTGGGTAAAATGGATTCAGGCGAATGAGAACAAGATGAGGCGGAAAATGTTGAGGGCTGTGAGAAGTGAAGCCCGAGAAGAGATCAAGGAAGGAGCCAGTCCTTCTGACTCGGGAGGCCCGGGTCTCATGGAAGACAGTTGGAGCAGGTCCTTGGCAGAACTGGGGGAAGGGCACCCCCAAGCCGTCCTTCGCATCGTTTTGCGGCCGTGTCCCTCAGCCACATCCCAGCTGCAGCTGCACTTTATCCACAAACTGACGGCTCACACCCGTAATTCATTCATAAACATTTATTTCCATCTAAGTCCGCCAACGGAGGCGTCCGTCGGTGGGGGTGCCGGGCTGCGCAGGGCACGACTTCACGGTGTGGGCTGGCATGGGGAGGCGGGCTGTGCCGTTTTGACGGCCCCGTGTGAGGGAATTAAGTGCCCTGAGCAGTTGCTTCACAGGCTTTTTCCAAGGTGGAAAATCAACACCATTTGCCTGTGCTATGCAGATAAGGCTGGCTCAGGAGCTCTGCTTTCTCCGGCCTGGAAGAAAGATCAGACATCCCTCGTGGGCTTACGTGTGGGGAAACGGACACGGAGGATGAGGAGGATGAGAATTCTGATCGTCGTAAGAGCAGCTAGCATTTATGAAGTGCCCTTTGTGCTCCAGGCCTGTGCTGAGCGTCACAGAGAACTCTCGTCTCCTCCTGCTTAAGGGTGAGGTTCTGAAGTCAGCATGCAAGAATCGGAGACCTTGATCTAGCCAACGTTCCCCTTGATGGTCCCTTAAGTTGTCCAGAAAGTTCAGGATATGCATATGTGTGCTCCCGAACAGTCGTGTCACGTGTAAATAGGAACCGTTTGGCTTTGCATAAATTTAGTATCAATCACTCTAAACTCACTCTCAGGCTGGGATGTTGGCAGAGAAATGGGCAGAATCCCCTAATATTTGGCTTCTTTCTTTCTCATACACTTTCCTCTTCTATTTTGTCACCCTTCTCTTTGAGTCAAACACATACTCACTGGTCTTTGAACTCCCCAAAGTTAAATGCTCATTTAACGCGGTCCCACTCTGTCTCACTTCATGCTTACAGCAACTCTCTGAGGAGGCTGTACTATTGTTTCTACAGAAGAGGACATGGAGGCTCAGAGAAGTGCAGAAAGGTTCCCAAGGATGCACAGCTTGCAGACTGGGGAGCCAGAGCACGAGACCCAGGCAGGTCGACTCCAGAGCAGGCCAGCTGCTGGTTAGAAAGGTCGGAGACTTCTCCCTGGGCTCTGCCATCCTTCCTGCAGGGACCTCAGTAGGCATCCCCAGCAGGCTGCATGTGAGTCTCAGGGCTGGCTGATCTGATCCAGCTATTACCATCTTGGGCCTCACTTTTTAAAATAAATGTTTCAACCGGCCCAGCTCTGAGATGTAACAGCTGATATTGTATGCACATTAAACACCAAATGATTGTTAACATATTTATTGAGGCTTAACAGGCATTCAGTATATAAAAGATGGCTCTCTTATATGACTGTCAGGCCTCAATAAACATGTTTAATAATTAATTGGTATTAAGCAAACATAATTGTGTGATTCTAAATCAAGTGTTCAGCGAAGCGTATTGTGAATGGAAAACCACAGTGGTGTTTTATTACTTAAAGTTCAGACTGTCAGTTTGGCTTTTCACATGTCAAGAAAAATACCCTGCTTTTAAAGACACAACCCGAACCTCCTGTTGCCTCGTGCCAAAGGGCAGCAGTAGCTTTCTTGCTCCCAGACCCTCACGTCTGAGAGATGTTTCTTATTTGGCTTGATGTTTGTCTTGCTGTTATCCACTTTGGGGGTTCTGATGTCCCAAGCCAAGAACTGCATAATGCCAAAGATGTTTCTGCACATTAGCTTTCAGATGAATTAACCAGTTGTGTTATAAATGTGTTCTGTGAGGCCCCTGCAAACACTGAATTGGTGAATTCTGAACTGTTGCTCCTAGGGGAAATACATTGTTAGGTTCCTGTGAGCCTCTGGTCACAACATTTTTGTCAACTGATGGATCATAACCTTGCTTTATGTATGCCTCTGTTTAAAGCCACCTTATTAAATATATGTGGTTAATTCATGGACCTTGAACTGATGAAGGTTCAACAGCACTAGCATTCACACCCAAAGGAAGCTTCCCTCACACATGTTGTCTCCTTTTTGCCCTTAGAACACTAGTCAGCACTTCAGCACGATGTGTGGGAACCACTTTAGACAGCAAAATCACCAATGAAACGCACAAAAAGGTGAAAAACGTGGCACTAACTAGAACATGAGAAGGACGTTTGTTAACAGGCTGAAAGCTAAAACAAGAAGGCAGAATGTGGCCTTGCTTGGCCTCAGGAGGAAGGTGCGTGTTGGGTGACTCAGACTTTTTGCCTCTCTGTGCGTGTCTGACAATGACCCCAAGAGTACTGTGAGTATTGATTTTGGGGTTAAAAATAAATTTTATCAGGCAGGCAGATTCATAAACACAGAATCTGTGAATAATGGGGATAGACTATAATCAGATTCCATTAAGTGCAGCCATCTGTATACCTCAGTGTCCCCTGCCTGGTCTTTGCACCGTCTGTTCCACCTGCCTGGTACATTGTCCACCCAATCCCAGTGGTGCTTTTGCTCTTGGTAGGTACACAGAGGGTGCCAAAAAAAAAAAAAAAAGGATATGCATGTTAAGTATGTGTTACCTATGTATTACTTTTCAAAGTTGAATTATGGTAACCATGTGTAGTGTGACATTCGCTCAACTGTGCTTCTGCCATTTTCTTTGACTGTCCTGCCTGTTGCATGCTGATGCTAGCCTTCATTTGATTAATGCCATCTTCTGAGCAGTCTTACTTAAAACGTGTATACATTTTTTTCGGCACCCCTGTATTTGTTGGGTTCAGCTGAGTAGGTTTCAAATAAGGACTCATAGAAAGTGTCACTTGAACATGCACTTACTTTTCTATAGTCATCATTTCTCGCAAAGCTTCTTGCTGTTATTTATTATTTCAATTTAGTTAATATTCTTCCGTGGCTTAAATTAACTTCCTATCTCTTACCTGCCCATAAATCCTTCAGAGACTCTGAAAATTCAGCCATTTTCTTGACTGGCAATGAATCCCTTAAAATTCATGCAGAAACAAGGATGAACATGACCCCACAGGCACCCCTGGCTGGGTCAGTTCTGTGTGATGGTGAAAAACTGTCCCCAGGAACCCATCCATGTAGGAAACTCACCCACAGCCACCCTGCAGAAAGGTATGGACTCAGGCTAGTGTTTGGGTTAGGGTTGGTGTCAGGCGCAGGGCTAGGATTAAAGTTAAAATTAGTGTTGGTGCTAGGGAAGGGTTATGGTTGAGTCTAGGATTAGGATGACGTTTAGTCTTAGGCCTAGGGTTAGGGTGGGGATTAGGGTTAGGATTTGTGTTAGGGCTGGGGCTAAAGTTGGGGTTAGGTTTAACAATAGTGTTAGTATTAAGTCTGGGCACAGGGATAGAATTGGATTTAGAAATAGGGCTAGACCTTGGATTATGGTTGTGTGGCTAAGGTCACCTATTGTAAAGGTGAGTGATAGTATTAGGGCTTGGTTTAGATTTATATTTAGGGTTAGAGTTAGGGTCAGGTCTAGTGCTAGGGTTTAGAGCTAAAGTTATGGCTAGGGTTAGGTTTAGCATTTGGATTAGGCTAGAGTTAAGGATAAATTTTGGAATGGTAGAAAAATCTGCAGAGGAAGCATCAGGAAGCCGTGCACTAACATTAAAAGGCACTTTCCAATGGCAACCCTCAAGGCACTGTGATGGGCAGACAATGGATGCTCTGGGACCATCAGCTCCTCCTAGGCCCCTCACACAGTAGAAGCTTTGGGGTTGCAGGGAGGGCTTGACTCTGGCATTTGGGAAAGCTATGGGTTCCACAGGGATCTTTGGGAAAATTACATTTTGGGCGACTGGGATTTTCTCCCTAAGGATTTAAAAATATAAATTAAGATTATTATGAAATTCATGCATACCTACTTCAAAAGTTAGAAAACAAAGAAAAGAACAGATAGCATGTAGTCTCATCATCATCTAAATATATGCAGTTTAATATTTGGTCATTGTGTGTGTGTGGGAGTGTATACGTTCTTTGTATAATTTTCATATACTGCATGGAAAAGTTAGTATCTCCCTATAACATGGCATCATCAGAATGCTCCATGGTGTCATGTAGTTCATATAAGCCTCATTTTAGGCAACTGCAAATTAGCCCATTGATGGGTTGTATCATAGTTTGCTAACCATTCCACTATTTTTAGATATTATTTCTAGTTTTTCTTACTCTCTGGAAATAACAGTGCTTCCCCCCTCCCAGTGTTAGTTCATATCTGGGTTTATTCTTAGCTCAGATTGTCAGAATTGGAATCACTAGATCATTGGACAGGGACATTTTTAAGGCGCTTGATAAACTGCCTCCTTGTTAAGAGTGTGGGAATATGCCCATCTCAGCAAATCTTTCCCCACACTGGATTACCATTTTTCAGTCTTTGCTAAATTTAAAGGGGATCCAGAGTTTCTTTCCTCCCTGTGGCAGTGGTCCACTGGATATCAGCTTCAAGTGCCCAGGCCTTATGCAGAGTGTGTGTGCATGCCTGTGTGTGCATGTGTTCACCAAATGCAACAGGTTTATTTTAAATTTAAAAAATCATGATATTGGCAATACATTTGCCTTGTGCTTTTCCCAAGTATTTCTTGAAAGAATCATGGTTTCCAAAAGTTTCTGCTTCGTGTCCTTGGGTTTTTATTTGGATCTATTCATTCTCTCTCCCTTCCCCTTCCTCCCTCCCTCTCCTTCCCTCTCTCTCTTCCCCTACCCTTCATGGAAAATAAAGCTCTTGAGGATGACAATTGCCAAACAAAGGCTTGGTGATGAAGAAATCGGTGTGCGACACTTTGCGGCCCATGAGCGTGAAGACTTGGTTCAGCAGCTGGAGAGAGCAAAGGAACAGGTTGTCACTCATGTCTCTTCAGAGGGGAGTGTTCTTGCACAGCTGGAAACAACACAAAGCAGAGTAGCCTACCCACCCTCCCTTGTTTCTCAGAGTAAGATGCCTGGGATGTGAGTGAGTCAGAGGAGGCAGGAGGATGAAAGTGAATGCTGCACTTCCTCCGTCTTGTGCTAGATTCCCAAGCTGATGCTTAGGTTTCTGCTCCTGTACACTGGGAACAGTTGTACTGAACACAACAAGAAACCTCCCCACTACCCACCACAAACAGGGAAGAACCAAAAGCGCAACAAACTGGCCGGGCTTGGTGGCTCAGCCTGTAATACCAACACTTTGGGAGGCCGAGGTGAGTGGACTGCCTGAGCCTGTGGGCTCGAGACCAGCCCAGACACCTTAGTGAGACCTCGTCTCTACAATTAAAAAAAGAAGTTAGGCATGGTAGCACATGCCCGTAGATCCAGCTACTTGGAAGGCTGAGGCAGAAAGATCGCTGGAGCCCAGCAGGTTGACTCTGTGGTGGGTGTGAGTGTGCCACTGCACTCCAGCCTGGGCGACAGAGTGAGACTCCGACTCAAAAAAAAAAAAGTGTGACAAACTGGTCTTAATTTGCAAGTTTCTGCTAAAATGCTGAGCAAAGCTTCTTAGGCAAAATCTCAACAAGCACAGAGCCCTAGTTAGGGAGAAGCTAAGGGAGCTTAGACTTCAATTTCCTTCTCCTCCTTTTTTTTTTATTTTTATTTTTTGAGTCAGAGTCTCACTCTGATGCCCAGGCTGGAATGCAATGGCATGGTCACAACTCACTGTAGCTTTGACCTCCTGGGCTCAAGTAATCCTCCCACCTCGGCCTTCTATATAGCTAGGACTACAGGTACATGCCACCACACCCAGATAATTTGATTTTTTGTAGAGACGGGTCTTGCTATGTTGCTCAAGCTGGTCTGAACTTCTGGGCTAAAGCAAACCTCCTGCCTTGGGCTCTCTAAGTGCTGGCGTGTACCACTGTGCCCGGTGGTCTTCCCAATTGGTTTTGGAGAGCAGAACAAGATTTTGGGTATAGACATTATTTGGAAACATGGATTTGTGAGACCCTGGCAGCCATTCCCGATGTCTAGACTTACTCTCCCTGAGCCTGTGGCCACCTGCTCCCTAACTAGGGCTCTGTGCTTGTTGAGATTTTGCCTAAGAAGCATTGCTCAGCATTTTAGCAGAAACTTGCAAATTAAGGCCAGTTTTTTGCACTTTGTTGTTATTGGTTTTTTTGTTGTTGTTGTTTTGGTTTTTTTTTGAGTTGGAGTCTCACTCTGTCGCCCAGGCTGGAGTGCAGTGACATACTCACAGCCACCCCAGAGTAAACCTGCTGGGCTCCAGCAATCCTTCCGCCTCAACCTTCTGAGGAGCTGGAACTACAGGTGCACGCTACCACGCCCTGCAGTAGGTGAGAGTTCAGTTCTGCTTTCCAGGCAGCTGCACCTCTCCTGTCCTAGATAGATTGAGTGTCTGGCAGGAAGTCGACCCTTTGCTGTTAGCTTTCATTGAATTCAAGTGTGTGGTGCCTATGGTTGTATAGCATGCGGGCGGTATTAATAAGCTCTCTAAAAGTCAGCCAGCCAAGCAGAAGGCTCTGTCTTTGGCCATAAAGCCAGCGTCTGAGGAATGTCTCGAGTAAGGACACTTCCCTTGATTTCAGATTGAGTCTCTGGAGCATGACCTGCAGGCGTCTGTAGATGAGCTTCAGGACGTTAAAGAAGAGCGGTCTTCCTACCAGGACAAAGTGGAGAGGCTGAACCAGGAACTCAACCACATCCTGAGTGGGCATGAGAACCGCATCATCGACGTGGATGCCCTGTGTATGGAGAACAGGCAAGTGGCCGGCCCAGGCCTGTGTTGGGGTGGAAGGCCGGCTCTCCACCGGCCTGTGGGCTGGGAGTTATCTGCATCCCTATTTACATCCAGGAAAATTGCCTTCCAAGTGAAAGTCACAACCCCCAAATGATGACGTCAATGTCATGTCTTAGTTGTAAAAGTAAAAAGCAAGCACTACATACCTATATCCCTGCATATGTAGCCCTTTCTCTTTTCCCCCACCCCCTCCTGGGTTGGACTAGGAGGGTGAGGGTGAGCAGCTTGTTATTGCTATCAAGGAGAAGGAAAAGAATAAGAAAATAAATTGAGAAATTCCCTTGGCTGTTTCTTTTCCCCGAGGCTGATTTCGGTGTGTGTGTGTCTAACTTAATGTTATATCTGGTGTCGCCTCTTCCTGCCTGACTTCCCAGTGGAATCATCTTAATGAGAATTATGTGAAAACAGTGTTGATATTCTTTAGGGGATTACTACAAGGGCTGTTTTAAAGTGGGGTGTCTTTGATTTGGGTACATTTGACCTTGATTGCATCCATTTAAGGAAAGGTCACAAAGATGCACATTCTTCTCCTCCCTCTCTTTGTGGTGAGCAGGTGAGGCGTTATGTGTAAAGAGATAGCTCTTCTAGCAAGAGATTTTTGGCTTTTCGTCTTATACTTTAGTGTATGTGTTTTCTTTTGCCCTCAAACACTTTCTAGTTGTATGTATTCTTTTCCAGATACCTTCAAGAGAGATTAAAGCAACTCCATGAAGAGGTCAACCTCTTGAAATCGAACATTGCCAAATACAAGGTAGCAAAATCATGACAACAGCTATAGTGATTCACTATTGTACATCTAATGTCATTCTATTTTAATTCTCTTTTATGTACCAAAGATATTTTTATACTTGCCTGCACCCCCCCCCACCAAAGCCTAATAAGAGCTTTAACTGAAGCAGTCGGTAAAAAATTAAACCCAAAACAAGAAACAAAACCAAAGCAGCGTTTGTGAGTGCATCTTCTATGTCTGTTATCTTAAGAAGGGTTGGTGAGACCATCGGAATCGGGTCTTTTCTACGCTACAGCCTCAGTCCTTAAGAAATTAGGTTTCTTCTCCGTTTTCTCTATAAAATGTTCAGTCATCAGATGCTATTTGTCTCATAATCATCCTTAAGAAAATGGTTTCCGAGGGATGAAGAAACAAAGATTGGGAAATCACAGTCTAAACGGTAATGTTCACGTCACACTGAAAGGACAGAATGTTTAAATTCTCCCCACTGTTATTTAGTTTAATTCTAGCACCATTAGTTTGATAATATCTATTTCTGCAGATGTTAGTTGCAAGTGTTATAATTAGAAAAATCTCCTGGGTTTCTCTGCTTTGAAAATAGATTGATTTCTCTTCCTGAGGGTGAAGCTTTACAGCCTTCTAAATGCTTTGAGAATCTTACTTTTCTGGTTTTTGACATTGGCATTTGCTCTCAGAAGCCTCCATGCTTAGTTTATACCAAACTTTATATATGCATGCAGCCAAGGAAGAAGACAGCTTTTAAAGTTGTAAAGTTAATACATAATTTTTAAAAAGTGTATGGATGCATTTATTCAACAACATGTATTCAGTTCCGTGTGCCAGGCCTCGCTATATGCTACTTATCAATTTTAATGTAAGAGTCTCTTCTAGGAATGTCAAGCAGGTGGCAGATATATACTTCCTCAATCTGTGTCCACAACGAATATCGCTAGTTGATCATGGCTGTCTTTCCAATTCAGCCACAGAATCCTTCCAGGCACCACCACTGGTGCACAAAAATAAACCTAGTCACCATCTCATGTCTATTCAAAAAGACTTAGACTGCATTTTTGCTTCAGATTTAATTTAACAAGCATGCATTGAGTGCCTTTTGTATACAGGGAACTGTAACTGTTGTCTTTCCGCCATGTACCCCTTTTATATAAAAACTCTTTACCTGACCATGAAAATTAAAACTCTTTGGCAGGGGCTTGGGATCTAAATTTTAGGCTAGCATTTGGGAATTTGCTAAGGGTTCTTCTGTGCCAGTGGGAGGATGCATCTCCTAGATATTTTTCCACTATTGGCTTATCTGACAGAGGTTTTTATTCTCTCCCAATGCTGCTTTAGAATGCTCTCGAGAGACGAAAAAACTCAAAGGGCCAGGGTAAATCCAGCAGCAGTGCTCTGACAGGAATCCTGTCTGCAAAGCAAGGTAGGATTGTGCTCTGGGGGCAACCACTCAAGAGTGTAGCATGCTAGAGTCACAAGCCCCATTCCCTCCAAGCTGCTGGTTTTATGGATTGGGAACCAAGGCGATTCTTAGGGCAGTGGTTCCCAAACTTCCACTCTATCAGAATTATCTCGGAGGCTTGTTAGAACAGATTACTAGGTTCTACCCCAGAATTTCTGATTCAGTGAATCTGGGATGAGACCTGAGAATATGTATTTCTAAGAAGTTCCCTGGTGACGTGGATGCAGGTTGGGACCCTACTTTGAGAATTGCTTTGTTAGAGGTTTTGCTAATGACTGGACTCCATTTGGTATATTCCCCTACACTGTGTTCTCCCTTTCAGCATGTTTTCCTTTACCTAATAACCAATTCAGCGTCTCCAAGGATATGTTTCAACCTCCTTGAATTGCTCCTTTTCCTGACTTCTACAATCAGAACAGAAATATCTGTTATATCAGTCTGTAGCTGCTGAAATTACTTGATCATGGAACATGTGCCTTTTTCGAAGAGGCTTTTATTGATTGCAATTTTGTTCCTCCTCTTTGTCGATTCCAATGAAAAATAATGATCTTCCAGGAACAGTCCAGAGGAATAAATAGCAGAGAGCTTGCTTCTGACACTTAATATTTGGAATTCAGCTCTAAACATAAGCCTCGAGTTGAACGTGCTCAGCTGGCCCACTTTTTGGTTGTTGATAGCAGAGACCAGCAGCTATCATGTGGCAGTCTTCATCGGCAGTAGAGTGGCTTTAAAAAAACCTGCTGAGTCTCTAGCCTACATAACAACCAAGGCTCTTTTCCAAGCAACCTCTTTTTTTCCACTCAACTAGAAAAAAGCACCCTAGAATTGTTTTTAAAAAGAAAACTACAATACTCTCTAAAAATGTGAACAAGCCCATCTAAGTTTAGCTCTGGATTCCATAAATAGCAAACTGTCTCTGAATGTTGATAACTGGTGTTATCATTGATGTGGGGAATGGCAGCCACACTCAAGCGCTGTGGTAGAACCGTGAATCTGGCACGCCTTTTCTAGAAAGACCTATCATGGGAAGCATCTATCGATGATCTATTGGCATTGATAAATAAGCCTACGATTCTATGGCAGCCCATTACAAAAAACCTTAAACCGACCCCCTTTGAACCAGCAAAAAACAATTGCACACAGATGCACACATGGTGCTGCAAGAAAGTTCTTTATGTACAAAGGGACCCCCAAAAAACTGGAATTATTTTTTGGAGAGTGGATCCCTTCTAGTACAGGCTTCCTCCCCTAGGTAAGTGTTCTAGGAATCCATGGGCATCAGTGTATCAAAAGGCATCGCTGTGGGAGGCTATGTGCAGTGAATTTTTTTTGAGAGTCTTTCAATGTGTTTGCCCTTTTCATGATGGGTGACTTACAGCACACCTGCCCACACTGCACACCGAGTGATCAGCAGTTGTTTACCAAAACAGCATGATCCCCATACCCCACCCTCCTTAAACACCTGATCTTGCCCCAGTGACTTTTTGTTTCTCTCTATGAAAAAAGTCCTCAAAAGGAGGTGCGGTGTTTCCTTTTTTGAGAAACTCTCCCATGATAAGACTTTCTGCCGTGGATCTTCCTTTTTTCCTCTCCTCTGCTTGCTAATAGACTCCATTGTAAAACTTTTTTAAAAAAGAAAAAAAAAAGGGAAATGTTTTTCCCACATGCAGGAAGTGAAACAAACAATGAGAGAAGCACTAAAAGGGATCAAAACCGATGAGTTCAAAAACTATTTTGGGCAGTGGGAAAAGCATCTTGATAGGTGTATTGCATCAAATGGAGAGGACTTTGAAGGTCACTAAAGTTTAAACATGTAAGAATAAATATACAATTTTTTATAAATATGTTTCGGGGTTTTTTGGGTCCCCCTCATTTTAGCTATAATCAAAAATATTGGAAACACCATAAATATCTAACAGTAGTTAAGCAAATTTATATATCTACAGATGGACTACTAAAGCAGCCATTCAATTTTATGTTTTAGGGGATATTAATGATGAGGAATATTAAGTGAAAAAAGCAGTGTTTTTCCCCATTTTTGAAGGAAAAAATATTATATGAATTCATATATCTATACGTGGTCATATAGGCAATGGTATTCAAACATATATATATATTTAATGAGAGAGTTGCACTCCTTCTTTTTTTTTTTTTTTGTCTGGTAGGAGTGTCAGTGGCTGTTGTCTTTTTGTTGATCTCAGTGTATCATTTGTTTATCTACCCTTAAAGAGTACATTAAAAATATTTAAACCAGACTTGAACAGAAATTCAGTCAGAAAGGCCACATACATACACAGGAGCATCTAAATGACTCCAGGGTAGAAAAGACAGTGGAAGAAGATGCAGAAGTTCTGTATGTAAATCGAGTTCATGCTGTGGAAAGGGCTGGTGGCTTCAGAGAGCAAGTTAAACAATTTCAAGCCCAGTCAAACATAAATGAGGGAGCAGAGTCTTAGTATCACATATGAAAAAGTCATAGAGGTTTTAATAGACAGTCTTCTCATATTATTAATCAATGATGCTTTATTGCCAAAGAAGCTAGAGAAATTTTTATAGTATTTGATATTTGGAATAAAGGAAGTGGTAGTCCTACTATGCCCTAAGCTAGTCATACCACACCTGGAATATTTCCTTATATATTTATAAGTGTCAGAGACAGATCAGAAACTATTCTCAAGTGGACACTTTTGAAACTGGACACAAATATGAAAGACTTTTCTATCAGAGCCATTGATAGTCCTTATCTTGACTGGAGACTTGTCAACAGACACTCATTCAGGACAAGATATGCACAAGAGATGGGCCACTTCACGTGGATCTGAATTCTTCCATTACACTGGATTGTGCATGTTGTTTGACTTTATTTTGAAGTTGGCCGTGGATGTCATTTGACAGTTGGTAGAAAAGCTAGCCTTTGTGTAAAGTTTTCTTTCCCAACATTTAGACACTTGCAGTCCACTGTGTGACTTTCTGCTATATCTTTATTCCATCCTGCTATTATTTGCTTAATGTTTTTCTTTAAATCAATCACAAAGTGATTCATTTGACTTGGCCTTGTTGTAAGTAGTAGTATCTGTGAAATCACTGGTTTATTATACCACTTATAGTATTTTCTGTAATACCTTCAAATATATACATTGCTTTTAAAATACAAAACTTATTTTGTATTTTACATTATCTCCTAAATGATCTTACCACCTGCTAAGGGTATCATACCATGGGTAACTCTGACATAAAGCAAGGAGCTCATGGTTAGAAGTCCTTGCATGTGCCTAGCTGTGTGACCTTCTGCCAGTATTATTTATTTATTTGTTTGTTTTGAGTCAGACTGTCACTCTGTTGCCCAGGCTGAGTGCGGTGGCACAATCACAGCTCACCATAGCCTCAAACTCCCGGGCTCAGGTAATCCTTCCATCTCAGTCTCTCAGGTAGTTGGGACCACAGGTGCACAGCACCATACCCAGCTATTTTTTCATTTTTTGTAGAAATGAGATCTTGCTTTTGTTTTCCATGCTGATCTTGAACTCCTGGGCTCAAGCAATCCTCTTGCCTCAGCCTCCCAAAGTTGGGATAACATGCATGAGCCACTGCACCCAACCTTTAGCCAATGTTCTTAACCCATCATTGCCTTGCTTTCCTGTCCATGAAATGAAAAAAAAACAACTTCCCAGGTGCTTCCCCTCCCAATTTCAAGTCTTCAAGTTAGTCAATATGAGTATATTTAAAATATACTAAACAAATGCAAATATTACTGTCCTTTAAAAAATTGTTGATCAAAGTCAATGAGGACTTACTTCCTCCTTTCTATTTAGTCATCACAGTGGATTTTACCTTATTTTACTTTTACCACTTGAGGTGAACTCTCATGCAATATGGTAGCATTTAGAAGCAGGGGACATAGTGTTACCTAGGAGTGATTGACATTGGTTTGCATTCCAGCATCCCAGAAGCATCACGGCTGAGTTGTAAATTTTATATCCCTCCTAGTTCAGGATTTGCTCTCTGAAGATCATGGATGCAGCCTCCCAGCAACCCCACAGTCCATTTCTGACCTGAAATCTCTGGCAACAGCCCTGTTGGAGACTATCCACGAGAAAAATATGGTCATTCAGCACCAGAGGCAAACCAACAAGTAGGTGGCTGGACCCTTGGGGTGGGGGCTGGAAGACAGAGACATGTACAAGGTTCCAGAAGGGACTGTCAGCCAGGTGGAACCATGGGCCTACAGGGAAGGAGGTGAAAACCCTCAAAGTTGGAAGGAAGCTTAGTAAATGGGAGCAGTGCTTCTGCTTTCTATCAGCATCTTGACAATCAGCTGGAGCCAGGCAAGGGAACAGTACCAGTCATTGCTTACTGAATGCTTACTCTGAGCCCTGCTCTGTCAGTGCATATTTCATGGGCAATTTCCACAGGACATTTGCCTGGATGATTCACGTCTCTCCTCCATGTCTCCTTTCAGGGGAGGAACACTCTCAATTCCATTGGAACCTCCCAGCATGACTGTGAGGGTCTTCAAATAGCGGGAAGTGTCCTAGCATCAATTTTAACAGGTAGCTGGGCCTATGAAGAAGTCTCACGTCACTCTTTCAGATCAGGAAAAAAAAAGATGGCGAAACAGGAACCGTAATTAAAACAGAATGTCTTATTTGGTTTTTATAGCACGTTGACTGTGTTGTATAAAATCAAACCAGTTAAAGTAGGTTAAGGTGGCCATTAGAGATGACAGAGGCAAAATTGGGAGTGTTCAGAGAATGGTAAATAAACAATAAATGAAAGCAACAACTATTACACACAGGGCCGGCTTCGTGGGTGTGCAACTTGTGCTCAGACGGGCTCCACGCTTCGATGATCTGCTGTCACCGCCTTGGAATTCTCAATCTTTTTGTTTTGTTTGTTTACAAGGTGGAGTCCCACCTTTTTATTTCACCCGGGACCCTGCAAATTATGTAGCTGGTTTCACTTACGAGACCTGTACTCGGAACCAAAATGCAAGTGTGGGAGAACAGAGCAGGGGCGCAAAACTGGGCTTCAAAGCACCAGGGGCGGGGCCAGGGAATTGGGGACTTGGCGAAGGTGGGGGCACGGGAGAGAGGCAACTGGAAAATGATTGAAAGTATTGTAAAGACAAAATAGAAAAAAAGAGAAGATGGAGTGAAGGGAAGATCGCACAAGAGATTAAGATGTATGTGGAAGAGAGCAGAGAGCAGCAAAGGGAGGCAGGGCAATCTCGGAGGGATGACAAGGGTAATTTATTGACAGGAGAAGGTTTAAACATTCTTGAAAAATGAAATCACAGCCAAGGAGTGGAAAGCCAGATGCTGAGATGCAGACACTTCTCAGGGGGAGGAAGAAGGAATGGGATCCCCTGCAGCACATAATGTCCTCCCTGGGCATGCTTTGTCCTTGCTTCCCCACAGGGCAGCTCGTCAGGGCTCTGCCAAACCTCACTGGGTCTTCTGAAGCCTGGTCTGTTTTCAGCGGGTGACCTTAGCTCCTCATTCACTGAGAAAACAGGAATTCTTACCATAAGCCCCTCAACTTGCTGCTACTGTGAGACCAGCATCTCCCCACACCGTGCTCCCTCCTGTCTCCAGGAGAAACATGGGCCCGCCATCTTGTTGGCCATACCATCATTCCTCTTCTGAATCTTTGCTCCCCTGAGATGTCCTCTCTCAACTTCTTCAACTTGCCCCCCTCTTTTGGCTTCTGCCTCTTTGCCCTGAACCCCAAAACCTTTCCCCAGTCCTGTTGCCTTCCCAGAAACTCCTCTCGTCTGGAATATTTATGAAGAAAGCCACCTCTGCTTCCTCAACGTCTCACCCTGTCCGAGTACGTTCTGGAGGGTCATCTATGTTAAAATTACTTGGGAGGCACTTGCTCAGAAAGGCAGGTGCAGGGATATTTGTGGAAAGTTAGAATTCTAGATTTTAGTAAGCCCCAGGTGGGTCCATGCTCAGGAAAGATAGCCTTCGCTTCAATACCTCCCGGGGACTCTTTCTGCATTTTCTACTGCATTCTATGCAGGTCACCAGTATTCCCAAACTCCACCGAGTCTCTTTCTGGAATTGTTCCACATCCAGATTTCCATCTTAAACCCCTTGGGTATCAAGATGGAAACTCGAACTTTCTCCACTGTCTCATTCCCTGATCCTACCCCCTTCCCTTTCCCCTTCCACCCCAGGCCTACTCTGCCTCTCTTCTCTGTCTTCTGTTCATCCTCCCTCTCCCGGGAGACCACATTCCCTGTTTCTGGCTTAGCTTCTCATTTTCTGCAGTCTCTTCTTAGATGTCTTGTCCCCATCACCCTGTCAAGAGCAAGACCCATGTTTCCAACTACTGGTTGACCGTTTCCCCAGGTATCTTTTCAGCTCCTCAAATCCAGTGAGTCAACAGCCATTCCTTAGTGTGTTTTAGAACACTTTAAAATGTTTGTTCTTTTTGATGGTTTGCTTCTAGGAATTTATCCTAAAGAAAAAAAGCAGAATGACACCCTCAGATTGATATATAAAGTTGTTCACTAGGGATTCATTTATAAGACAGAAAAAAATGGAAACAACCCAAATGTCTTTTAGTCGGAGAATAACTGGAATCATAGTAACTCTGTAAGATGGAATATTATGCAACCATTTAAAGCATGAATTGAAGAATATGTAATGGGCTCGTCCCCCCATCCTAACACCCAGATTTGACAAGCCTCCACATCGCTTGAGTTTAAGCTGTCCCAGGCCTGGAATGTTTGTCCGTCTCCAGCATTGTTCTCTCCTGGTGCTTAGCACGGTGCTGGGCCCACAGTGAGAGCTCTTGATGATCTGGTGAATGGATGACTACATCTCAGTCTTCTAGCCCTTTGCTTGTTTCCCTAGCATGCCCACCCAGATGACCATTGAGCTTACGGCTTTCCTGCATTCTTGTATTCTCTATATGCTTTCGAAGTGCTGCCATGGGCTTCAGGCCTCCTCTACTACACCCCTGCACTCTTCTCCCTGCTCCCAGACCACTCTCTCTTCCTTGGGGAGACCCTCCCATTGGCTCCATCTTCAAACCCCAGCCCCACCTCCCCACCACAACCCACCTGCCAGCAGCAGTTCTGAGCATGCCCCGTGCCTCCCCCACAGAGGGCTGAGTCCCTGCTGCCTGCCACCTGCTGGATCAGCACACTGTCAGCCCGATGTTCCTTTGCAGAGAACTCCAGCCTCCTCTGACAGATTGACTTTTTTTTTTTAATCAATATTTTTTATTTTGATATTGTGGGATACAGTTAAGGGTTAGGTATACAGATATGCTTCATTCGGGCCCCCTTGTTGATAACAGGTGTCTCCCCATCCCCAGACAGATGTTTACTACCATTAGTCCCATCCCCCCCATAGTTTCCCACCACTGTCAGTCATTTTTTTATGGTAGTGCGTTGGATGATCAAGGTCCACTATATGAGTGAGAACATGTAATACTCAGATCTTTGTTTCTGTGAGAGGTCACTCAGTATTATAGACTCTAGCTCCATCCTGGTTGCTGCAAATGACTTTTTAGTGTGTCCCTAACCAGACCCCCTGCAAACACACATTCCCCAGGGTTCAAAGCACACACTCCCTCTATTGAGAAAGACAGACATCTCACTTGGCCATGTTTATTTTTGTTTTCATGTTTAATTGTTTTTAAATAATTTTTAAGCCAACTTACGGTTTCAGTTTTGAAAAGTTAAACAGCAGTGTATCGCCAAGCTGCTCCTTTCAGCTCCCACCTCCCTTTCCTGGAAGAGACTACCATTCCTTATTTCTTATGTATCCTTCCAATGAATGCATATATACTATAAGTAAATGCATAATGCATTTATATATCCATACACAAATGCCCATGTGTTTATATATATATATAAATATATATATATATATATATTTTTTTTTTTTTTTACAATGGTAGATAGTATTCAAAAACAAGTTGTTGTTTTTTTTCATTGTTCTGCACCTTGGTTTTTTTCCCTATAATAGATCTTGGAGATATTTTCATATCAGTTCATAAGGTGCCTAATGTGCCATCTTTAATACTGAGGTCTTACATTTCATACTTTCAATACATGTTTTATTTGGGGATATGTAAAGAAAGCAATTATGCTACAAATGGAGCGAGGGCCAAGAACAAAACGTGAACTTGGTCAGCTTGCTGTTATCCACTATCATTTAGCCTTCCACAGCTGAACTTTTAAAGTCGCTTCATTTTGTTGGAGTGTTACAAAGAGGAATAAAGGTACTCATTTCGGCCAGTGCATGCTCCCCTACTAGATTTCCCTTGCTGGGCAGTTACCCTCCTTGAGAGAGTCCAGAGGGAGCCATTTCGAAGAATTGATGGAGAAACCTCAGACTTTACCTTTTGAATGACGTTCAGTTAATTGGCAGTTTGCTTGAGGTTCTTCTTGCCAAAGAGTTGGCAGTTGTCTGGTGTTATTATTTATTTTTTTGAGTTGGGGTCTCACTCTGTCACCCAGGCTGGAGTGCAGTGACACAATCATGGCTCACTGCAGCCTTGACCTCCTAGATTCAGGCCATCCTTCTGCCTCAGCCTCCCAAGTAGCAGGGACTGTAGGCACATGCCATCATGCCTAGCTAATTTTTTTGATTTTTTGTAGAGACACAGTCTTGCTATGTTGCCCAAGCTGGTCTCAAACTCCTGAACTTGAGAAATCCTCTTGTGGTGGCCTCCCAAAGTGCTGAGATTATAGGTGTGAGTCCTACGCCTGGCCTACCATTCGTCTTTTAAACTGGGTGGCAAAGCATTCACAGAAGAGGCCGTTGTTAAAGTATCCTTTCACTGCACACCACATTTAATTCCTCAGATCATCCCAACAAGCCCATAACCCTGCCATGGTGGGGTCGGGGTGGTGGTAAAAAATGAGCATGTTTGGCCTTTTGCTACCCTTCCTGCTACACCTGACACTGTTTCCTCTTCTCTTCCACTGACCAATGGTGAGTGAGCTTGAAAGTTCAAGCTCTTGAGAGCAGCAAGAGGGTGTCATGGATCAGAGCAGAGATTCCAGAGAAGGCTACTGGGAGTAGGGGTGGGGATGGAGGGCCAGGGGCGTCTCCAGGGTGGGCAGAGCCACAGCTACCTGCCATCCTGTAGAACTGGGCATTGCTCAAG